CCAGAAATAAAAGATTGTCTCTATACCTTTAATACAGCAATAATTTACCAATACTCTGGTCAAAACCATCAAACTACGGGTTGCTTCTTAAGCTTGCTATAGGCAAATCATGACCTGTTAGAAAAGAAATGTCACTTCAGGGTATCGCCTGTGTTGTTACATATGAGTTTATTTTCTGTCCTAATTACATGAGGATTAATGAGACATCAGTCCCATATCGCACGGCTAAGTCAAGTCTCAAGTCTTTAAGGGCTGAGTTCTAGACTGTACTCAGACAGCAGCTTGCGACCCACATGTGATTACTTTGCCCATATGCAACCCACATTTAACTTTTTCAAAGGAGTCTGAAGGGCCCGATGTCAATGTTTTTCATTAAAAAAAAAGTTTTCAGCCACTTTATTTCTGGTGCTCAACAGATACATATCTGCTAGATTTTAAAGCATTAGCAGTCTGAGCAGTCACGCCACATTTTGTCCTGCCTTTACATTATAGATCAGTTAACAATCACTGACAAATGAAATGCTCTTGTGAATAGTTGTGCTCTCTGTTTTCTTAACTTTTTGCATCTTGTTATGATGTGAGGGTAATATTGGCAGCTTCCATTGCCAACATTTTGATAACAATACAGACACTTGCCTACACTGTTACTTTTTATTTAACAAAGCTTACTGAAAATTCTAGTAACACACATCTATTAATACATCCTTAAAAAAGTGCTGTGTGACATCTCATGAAGCATTCAGACAGATACTAACACAAACCACAACGCAAAAAGTTTTGAGCAAAAACTCAGACCTGAGCGTCATTACCTGATGTGTGAACGCAAGCCAAGTCAACAATACGATTTTTTTTTTGGGGGGGGGGGGTTGCTAATATTTGTCAGTGCAACCAAATTACATCATTTTGAGCTTCTACACCCCCTGTGTGGCATCCATGTGGACAGAATTTCTGTCACTACCCGATCCGTCCTGGAACCATGATCCGTACCATCAGCTCATTTGCGCGTCTGCAACCAGATATAGATACATAATGCCATAAAGTACTTATGTCTTTCCTTTAATAACTAAAGAATGCCAAAACAAATCTTTAAAACATTTTTTATGACTTTCCTGAGACAATTTAATGCGTTTTACATTTTCTGTTAAACAGCTTGACATCATCATTGGACATGCTCAGAGTAGTCCAGCAAAATATGATTAAACCATGTTTATCTTGTTTTTGTTGTTGTTATTATTTCCTTCCTTAGATTATGCTCTATATACAATACAGTTAACACAAAAGGAAAAACTAAAACTCATAAAGACTAGATTTATGTTTAAATCCAAAGCCAAAAAAGTTAGCTCCCCAAAGAAGCGTAGGATCCCATTTCCGGCACAGAAAAGTGATAAAACAGAAATAATTTTAATGCATTTATTTTCTCGGGAAATATATTAATAACCTTTAAAACCTCATAGATTAGTAAGCTTACTATTTTTAAGGAGGGGTAAATTTTAATTGACATATTTTTTACGAATTAATATCGAGGGCGACCCGGACGCATATCTGGTTATGCATGCGCAAATGAGCCGATTATACCGATTGAGCTTTCGGGACAGTTCGGGTAGTGACACACGCAGCTCCTTTTCAGCCCAGTTTGTAAGTTTGTTAGGAATAACCTTTTCCCCATGCTTGTCCTGGACAAGTTAGAAGAGGAGCCTGCAGCTTTTCTATACTCTATTCAGTTGCTGACAAACTCCAAAAACATATTTCACTAACATCACAATAGAGGGACTTTGCATGCCAGCAATCTGTGTAGCTAAAAACACTGAGATAATAGTTGTGGGTATTTGCATTAGCATGCTTTTGTAGCTCAATGAGTTGTGATACATTTTTGATTGATATGGTGTTTGGCAAGACATAAACATATTGCATAACAATTTAAGCACCTCTGCAAAGTTCTTTGACCACATAGTCTCCAGGTGGACAGTTTGCACACAGCTTTTGTCTTGTTTGAAAAGACTAGACAGCTTCTCTATTGAGGTTGCCTTGCGTTGCCAGGCAACTAACCTGGCCTTAAGCAGCACACACAAAAAAGGGTAGATAAAAACAGATTGCAAACACACAAACAATCAGGAGGATCCAGAACAATAAGCCCAGATTGCCGCACATTGCGTCACAGGTGGGACAGTGGGAGATGTCTTACTAAGGTGTTGCGACTCCCATTAATTGAGCAAATTAGTCTTTGGCATGTGTGTGTGTGTGTGTTTGTCTGAATGAAAATTGGTCTGCTCATATTGCCAGTGGGTTTCTACTGCTTCTATAAGTGCTTTGTGCAGAAAGAATGTTTTCAGCGCCGTCTCCTGAAGTCCATGAGTTGATTTTTGTGTGGAAGGGATTAATAATGCATGACAGCTGAGAACCAGCAAAGAGATTGTGTGACTGTTTATGCTAGAGGTGCACTCCGAGTCCCAGATGAGGGCTTGGATTTGATGTTTCCTCTCTGTCTTTGGACGCGGCGCTTCTGCATATGTAGATCAGCTTTTTTTTTTTTTATGCAAAGTGATAAAAGAAACCTGGGGCTCAATATGGCCAAAATATTAGTGAAAGAGATTTTTTTTTTTTTTTTTTGTACATCCACACCTTCTCTCTCTGTAAGGTCTCTACTGACTTCAAACCTTTGTCTCCATCTTTTTTTCTGCTGCAGTTTCTCTTCTAAATCTCCCGACTCACTTTTTTTTCCTTTCTTCTCACTTTCCCTTTCTCTCTCTTATCCTCCATATCTTTCCATATTTACTCACTACCCCCTCCTCATCCTCCTCCTCCTCTTCGTGTCCTGTACCCCCTCCCTCCTAGTCTGTGGTTGAGCTCCAGTGATAGGCTGTTAATGCAGGCGTTGTATGAGTCTATCTCACCATCTGCAGTAGTGGAGCTAGCTTATCTCCTCTCTCTCGTCAGGATCTCTTCATCAACCCTGCAACTTCATCCTGGTTTGCTGTATGCCTGTGTTGATGAAGTTGAATAGAAACAGATCAGTGGAGCATTCTTGACTGATATAGTGTGTGTGTGTGTGTGCATGTATGGGTGTGTGTGAAGGTAGCAGGCAAGCTGTTGAATCTTCTGCAAATGTGTGAGGACATAGAGCAGGTATTATGTGTGAACAAGGCAGTCAGGGAGGCTTGGATGGCCGCTGGCACTGCTCGGCTGCTCAGGTAGAGATTTTACTTTTTAAGCATGCTACCGCACAGTTTACCTTTGTGTTTATTTCGTCTCTTGCAATAGTTAAAAACCTTTGTCTGTCTATTTGCCAGCATGCTTTTTTGTTAGACTTTGAAAAATTGGGAACAAAAGATGCAGACAGAAAACCGGAGCGAGGTTGGAGCATCTGATAGCTTCCGTGATCCAACAATGGGATGCAAATAGAGTTTAGTTTCCCTCATGTTCAGTGTGTCCCATGCAGGAGATGGATCGATACTCAAAATTGACACCTTCCCATTTCAAAAGGGCTGTCAGCTGATTTGTTGATGTCATGAATCAGAGGAGTGAGCTTATTAAATGTACTATTTTGATTATGATTTTGTAGGGCACATAGATTTCTCCGGTTTGGTGATCAAGTAAGGCTGGTAGGTATTAATCAATGGAAGATATCAGGGGTGATGCGGTTCATGTGCTGGGTGCATCCTGGCAAAGACACAGCGGGTTTATTGACTGGCTGGATGCCAGTGGCTAAGCTCATCCCAGCTGTCTATGACAGTCCAGTGGGTAGAACTGATTGGAAACCCCATGAAAGGAGAGAGACAGGGCCAAGCATCACTGACCTAAAACATGTTTCATGGCAACATAAACCACAGAAACTTGTTAGAACCAACATTGTGCCTCACAAGGAATGGGCAGACTTCTTTTCAAAGAATGAATTAATAATACTCTTCCTTTTGCTTAAACAGCTCTTGTTCCTACAGAGGCAAGTTGATGAGAAAGCAATGTTTAGCGGGTTTGTTGTTCTAAGACATCATCGGCCAATTAGTGCTTTGATTGGGTTCCAATTCTCCCTTAGTTTGGGTGTAATCTTGCTCTCAAGCTCTGCCGCTCTCACTGGGTTACTAACATCCACTGCAATGCATCACAATCCAATTTTAATTTAGTGCCGGCACCAAGCGCCCAGCGTGGTACAGAAGCACGTACACACGTTAAAAATCTCTCATGCCAAGGCGTCAAACGCAGGCGATGCTTAACGCTAGTTCATGAATATGCAGGGTGCATTTACACAGTATTAAAGAAAGACAGCTGCAGTTTTTATTGAAGCACTGATCTCACTTTTTTTCTCTTTCTCTGGAACTGCTATTTCTAAAATATCTATATTTAAAAAATCCTCTTCATCTGCCCATCTATCTTTAACCAACTCTTTCTTCTTTCCGCTTCACACACTCAGGCAGGAATAGCAAATCAATGCAAAGGTCCCCATTGAGTGTGAACACTCCCTTTTTTTTTATATTCCCCATCATTTTTAACAGCATGAACTTAGAGTTGCCATGGCAACAGGAGGAGCAGGACTGGAAAGGGAAAGAAGGCGCTTTTTCCACGGACAGAGAAAAAGCTACTGAGGTTATTCACTTTTAGAATATGAAACAAAGAGAAAAGCTTGTTAACGTTTTATCCCTTTTGCTTCTTATTCTGTATTAAATTCCCAATCAGAGATTATGAAGGCTGTAAACAGGAAGCAGCAAAATAAAAAAAAACAGGCTTCAGGAAATGAAGAGGGGAGGGCTGAGAGAGCAGGAGATAACGAGTAGTTCCCTAGTGGGTTAAAGGATTCATTGTCCGCCCCTCCCTGCTCTTTCTTCTTCTCCTCTTGATGTTGGCTGCCAGCCTTACTTAGAGACCGAAGCATTGGCAAAAGTGGTCGATGGATGGACTTCTGTGGGCTCACAGGTGTTGAACATAAACAGAAAGGATGCAAAGAACAGACTGTCTCTTTTGTCTCTTTTATTCCTGTATTATTTGATCTCAATGTCTTGTCTCCACAGAACGCAGATGACTTACTGGTAGCATCGGCTGAGTGTCCAAGTGACGATGAAGACCTGGAACCTTGTGACAGCTCAGGTGAGACCCGTTCAAAAAAAAAAGAGCACGTGTCACATCGATTTCTCCACTTGTTTTTCATGCGTCGCTCAGTTGTCGTGTTTTCTTCTCCCTTGGTCACTCACTCCTATGAATTTTTTATTTCCACTTCGGTTGCTGCCTTCAGGGTTCATCTTTTATCTTTGTGCCTTTCTCCAGTTTTTCTCACTCTCACCAGTTTCTAGTCTTGGAAAATGTTGGAGAGGGGTGGTTTCTGAGACTTTCTTTGGTTTGCATTTCAGCCCCTCTTCTTGTCAATCGGTTTTGGAACCATGACATGATAGCAAATAATTGTTGAGACAAAGCAATAAGACATCCTATTTGAGGATTGCCCATAGCATGTATGAGAGAGTGGTCTGGGTAAAAGGAACCAAAGTAAAACTTTTTCCACCTCGAAAAAAAATGCTATGTGTTCTGCAAAACTAATAGTGCACGAGTCTGAACACACCTTCCAAATCTCAGTTCAATTTGCATTTTTACTAAGCCATAATAAGGCTTTGCTCGTCCACTCTATAAAGATTGAGACTCAACTCTAATCCAGACATTTTGAATTGAGAAAGTTTCCTGGAGGGGAAGTGAAACATCTTAAAACTTGGAAAACAAGGTCCATTGGTTTGTTTTTTAACATTTTTGACCTGGTTGAGAAATCGAGAATCTTTACCATCATCCAAATTGTGAAACATGTTTTTGTCATGCTTTTGGGATACTCTACTTCAGCACAGAAAGAAGAGCTGGTCAGAGTTGTCAGAAAATAGACGGGAAAAGAAACTGGGAAATCGTGAAAAAAACATATATTTAATGCCTAAAAAGACTTAAGATTGTGTCAGAGGTTTGTTTTTCAGTATGAAGCAACAGCCCTAAACCTTGAGACAGAGCCACACTGAAATGGGAGCATCTCTTATACAATGACAAAACACTACTCAAGATCTATCTCCACTCACTTGATCTCATGGCTTTCCAAGACCTTTCTGGCAGACTTCCCACCAGCAGTCCCTATTACAAAATCAGTAATTGTTCTTTGGCCCAGGTTTGTTTCGAACCAGAGAAATATCTCAACCCATTTATGCTGAAACAAGGGTTTTAAAATAGACATCCAGTGACTGGTGCTGAAATCTAATAGCAAAGCAAAACACTCCAGGTAGCTCCATCATTGTCCACATTTGCAGTAAACTCCAATCCCTTAATGATACAGCTTCTAGCACTTTTTTCTTCACTCTTCCTAGGAGGCTGTGTTATATGAACTGCTGTACCTTTCAAAAGTTCAGCAAACAGCATGTGTAGGAAGTTGAAAGCTGTAAAGAGGTGAACGCCTGACTCACCAAGTTAAACTCCAGCACCTGACAGGAGTAGTATGGATGATTGCATGTATATGTCTGTGTAAGAATGGCTCATTTGAAGTCTAGCACCTGTAGCAAAATTAGAAAAAGTATGTTCAAGCTAGAGATGGAATTGGCCATAGCTGATTATTTTGGCAGTATCTAACAGATCTCCACTACATGCCACCCATATTTTTGGGGCAATTCTTGTAGTCCAGTTTGTTTTTCCTCCCTTGATAACATGTAAACAATTAAACCATGATAGCAAATGTTACACTAGTCTTAATTTAAATAAGATAAATACATATTTATTAACATATCAAACAATGAATAGCAGATGAAGGAAGAAACAATGAATTTGCTTCACTTGATCTCAAGGCATGATTGCTGAATCAAACCCACAAACACTTATCGGCCAAAACAGATACAAGAAAAAAAATACTATTATAGGTCAAAAATATATTGACCGGCCTGTTCAAACACTCTTCCTCCAGCTTGAACTATTTCAGGCAGAAAAAAGGGCAGAAATTAGTCTGTAGATGTACAAATCTGGTCAATGTATATCCAAAGTATTGTAACTGGATCAAAAGGATGTTCTACAACATATTTACTGAGGAAACCTGATAACCACTGTGTGCTACATGTTTCTAATTTATTTATTTTGCCTAAAAACAAAACAAAAAGAAAACTGCCCTTTAACCTCAACTTCACATTACTTTCTCATATAATCCATATAAAATATCCATTGTGGTGGATTATATTTGCTTGTACACTATCTCTGTGTCAGGTAATCTGTATTTAAATTGATGTGGGAACAGGCTCTAGGATCCAGTTAACAATTGCCTTGCTGCCATTATACAAAGTTCTTATCAAATAATTCATCATGATGATACACAATACCTTCTTAATCTTCATTCACTGCTTTTGATTGTAATTCAAACTAATAATTTATAGAGTTCTGAAAAAAAAATACACCCTTTTCTTTCACTTCTCCCTTGCCTCATCCCCTCAGCAGCCAGCCCTCCTTCGCCAGACGTGAGGCTGTTTCCTGGTCCGTCCGAGGTGGTGGTGGAGAGCAGCAGCACCACGGGCATGGTGGTGGGCATCGTGGCAGCCGCCGCCCTCTGCATCCTCATCCTCCTCTATGCCATGTATAAGTACCGCAACCGAGACGAAGGATCCTACCACGTTGACGAGACCCGCAACTACATCAGCAACTCGGCCACGCAACCCAACGGTAGCACCAAGGACAAGCCGCTGGGCATCGCCAAGATCTCTAAGAACAAAAGGAACAAAGAAAAGGAGTATTATGTCTGAGGAGGACACCCCCCCTTGCTCAGAAACAGAGAAATATACGTACACCTTTATATATTACAATATATGTACATAGATAGATATATTCTCCAAGAAAAAAAGAAACACTCATACACAAGAACATAGACATGGGGATTTTAATGTTTACTCTCCAATAATTCCACCTGCACACATGCCGTCAAGCACAAACATACATATTCAAGTCCACATGCAGACATTTAAGCACAAACATAAACACACAGACTGACCTGAGGGCTCGAGCCCTCCCTGTACAGTATTTACCAATGAACAGAGCCTCTGGCAGAGGCCTGTTTTATGAGCATTAACATCATTCCAAATGAGTTAGAAGCACCAGTTCAACTCCCAGTCACCATTTTGGCTGAGGCCAGGTCTGCCACAGTCGGACCTCTCTGTCTGGACTGAGAGGGGCGAAAATAGACTTTAAGTGAAGCACATGGCAGGCCAAGCGAGAGGCAGCGCACCAGAGCAAAGATGATGTAAAAGCACTAAGTGTCTCTTCCAAGCTTCTTGGCCTTCCTCCCTGTTAACAGACGGGACTTGATGAAGCACAGAGGACAGCAAGGAAATAAGCACACCAGTGGTTCAAGTTTAGCCCCGAAGCCACAGGACAGGAACTCGGTGTGTAGCCATAGAGACGGTGAATTATGAGAAAACAGGCACAGACAGAGCTCAGTGAGCTGCTGCTGTTATGCTGCAGAGCTGAGCTTTTTTACAGCGTCCTGGATAAATCCAAAAGAACGAAGCCGGGGAGACCAAGAGATGTTCTCCTGCACATGATACTTGAGACTTCAGATGCTACCTACAGACACCAGTCAGACATGACTGCAGTGTTGTCACACGCATACACACAGCACACAGGCACAAAACGAACATTTTAAAAAACAAAAATTTCCTTGCAATGCTAAAGACCCACAAAGACCTTCATAACTGACTCTGAAGACTATACAAGGGGGAAAAAAACATCACTAAGATGAAGATGAATATCAAGGAACATTCGGGCAGTGCAGACTCTGGGGAAGGGAGGTTTGTGTGTGTGTGGGGGGGGGTGGGGGTCTTATTGCACGTGAATTATCTTACTCCGTGTGATTTATACTGCGTTGAACTCCAGATACGCCACAATTAACTCCACCACCTCAGCTTCAATTATTTCCAACACTTACTTCAAACAGTTTGGTTTTTAAACATATTGTAGGCCCTGTCCACACTGACAAGGAGATTTACAAAGACAGATTTTTTTGTGTGTGTGTGCGTTTTGCAACTCCTGTCTACACGTAATCTGAGGTTTTGGTGATGAAAAATTGAGGATTTTTGAAAAATTTTCAAACTGAAATTTCTAACTTTTTCTTGTTGTTTTTCTTTTATCAAGTTGCCAAAAAACAACAAAAGGGTTCAAATAATTTTAACGTTTTCTTCCTACTGCCTCTCCTTTTCCAGCAAACTTAGCAGTTAGCTGAAGAAGTTATTGTTTGAGATAAAATGGTAAACCATGCAGATTTCCCACTCAGCCTGGAAAAGTATGGAATCAGAAAGAAGTCTGATATTTAGAGATAAAAGCTGAACCCTGGCCGTGTCATCGAAAACAGGAACTACTGTTGTTTGGGTAGAACATTCGTTCTAATGTTCCACACGATCTTGTTTTTCTCTTTATCGTAGTTAATATCAGTGCTATTGCCATCTGCTGGCTTAATACAGGTATTACAGTTTTTTTGTAGGCAGAATTTCAACAAACCCAACAAATAAACAAAACCGTTTATCAAGAAAAGATCTCCAGCGCAGTGTAGCCAGGGCCTGAATCTTTGAATTAAATCTCAGTTTAACAAAGTCGGACCATCTGGAGCGTGCTGCATGCCAGAGTCTCTGAGCTGTGCTGTAGAGTGGTGGTTTGTCAAAAGCTGGTGAAGGAGGTTGCCGTGCAACACCTGGATGTATAACTTTGTGTGTGGGCCACGCCCTGTTTTCTAGTTTGATGTCCTATAGGCCACGCCCAGTACACTGCTCCAACCGACCACCTTTTATAGTGAAAATCGGCTGAGGAACGGTATGACAGACATCAGAGTCATGTGTTGGAACTATATAAAGTCCTGTTCTTTATGCCATCAGCTCTGCAACAACTTCTGTTGCTTCGATTGCATTTGCTCAATCTGTATTTCTTTTTCTATTTACCGCTGTTCATTGTTTGGCCGGACACAATCTGTTGGGTTTTTCTTTAGAACTTTTTGAAGTGTGTTAGCCCTCTACAACTCCTGAATTTGTAGCCACATAAAGTAAAAACTCAAGCAAACTTAGGACATTCATGACACAAGAAAAGCCCCTTCCAGTTCTTCCGAAAACGTGACCCAACCAGGCAGATGCATGTGAAACGGACCGGGGCTTGGAAGAACATAAAACTGACTGTGAGGCGTGTGATTTCAGTGTATCGTTTAAATCGACAGAACATGTTTGCATATTCTATTCATCCTGAACTGGCCTTTTTGCCTCTTTTTCTCCTCCTTCATCCATGTCTATGGCTTTCTATCCCTTCTATCTCCATGTTTTTTTGCATTTCGGAACAAAAGGAAGCGTCTCCGCCGATGGGATCCCACATTTAGGTGTTCATTAACCATGTTTATTTTCTATATGTACAATTTTTCTACAGTATTTACTTTTATTTTTATTGTTACGGTTCTTTGATGAACATAAAGTGGAAATTTATTATAAAAAATAGTTTTGAAGATTAATGAGTAAATAAAATATTACCCAAGTGAGCCAGGAGTGTGTCTGATGAATGTTGGGTTTTTTTAGTTTTTGCCGCCGCCTGCTCGAAGTCAGCGCTTCGTTCTGTCATCAGGGTACATTACACTCAGCCTTGAAAGCAGATAACTGTCAAATTAAAACTAAGCTGTCAAATTTGCATGAAGTCCTCTAAGCACATCTTAAAAGAGAAGCTTAAGGGGAAAAGAAGATGGATTTCTCTTTAATGTTTGTTTTTTCATTAGAATTGGGCCTATAGCATTGCTGGTTATGGATATAAGTTTGCTCTTTTAATTTAGTTTAATGTCTATATATTAATTTAGCTTTATCTGTATGATGACAGTTTGCTACACAAGCTTAGAACAAAATGTTCAGTTCAATCACATATAGTCCAACTAAATATACTCCAGTGCAACCAGAACACAATGAGGAGGAAAGCTTACTTTTACAGGAACTTCTGCATTAAATACACTAAAGCAGTGGTAATAACTATTCTTATAACTTAACCACAAAGAAATGAATACCATTTTTAATCTATCATCAAAAATGACCCATTAGATCTTTTGTCCTATTAAAAAATAAATATATTTATTGTAGCCATGAGGGCTCATACAGGCTGACAGTATTTATGGCTCTTAATTTTTTTTATTTTTAGTTACTTGTAATTGTTTTTTTATGCAAATAAAAGCCTAAAAAAGTTGAATGCAATCCCAATCACTCAATAGTTTTTAGAGAGAGCTTTAGCTGCAAATACTGCTTCAAGCTCTACAGACCTTAAAAAGGTCAGACTTTGTAACTGTGAACAGAAGAATCTGCAATCAGCAGTTTTTAAGCCTTCTCAAGGATTATGAATTTCTTTCCCTTGAAGCTGTATATTTAGTGTCTTGCTGCAGGAGGGGAATATTTCTGCAGCCTTTAAAGGGTATTATTTTAGGACTGTCCTTACAGCATAATGCTGCCACCACCATGTTTCGCAGTAAGAACAGTGTTTGTTTGTTTCTTTTTTTATCTTTTATTATGAATGATATTCTGTTATAATAATTAGTTTCACTTATTAGCCAAGAGAAATTAAAGAGCAAATATTTACAGTTAAAAAAGTTATAGTCTCATATACTTACTAAGATATACAAGAAAAAAGCCATTTTTTTTAATCAAATATCAATGCATTTAGTAAAAGAAACTACTTAAAAAAAATTCAAATGAATCATTTTGAATATCAATTATGTACAGTAATACAGTAGAAAAATCACGATCACTTTAAAATACTATCATTCTTTTTAGAAAGTTATTTTGTAAAGTGCATTTTTGTCCAGTCCTATAAAGGCTCCGAACGCTCTTACCAGCGTGATGGAATGACCTGCAGTGTTTCTATTAAAGTCCAAAAAATAGTATTTAACAGTCCAAGTATTTGTTGTCATGATGTTAATAGGCCCTGCAGATGAATATGGAGTGCCTGGCAATGGAGGGGGTGGCGTTACAGGGGACTGATGAATGCTGTGTTTTCCTTTAGTTGCTTTTAATGTAAAAAGTCCAATTTCTGATCATTTTCTTTTGCTTCCACAGAGATACTCTTTATTGGGAATAAAGGGTTTATCAAGGACAACGGAAGAACAGGTGCTCCAGTGTCTCAGGGTCTTTAAGACAAACTGTACTTTCTCTGACATATTTTTTGTTAAGTCGGTGCAAAATGACACCTGCAAAAATCTGTATTTGCTCGTTGATGATAAACCAAGTAAATTAAATAAACATGTAATACCTTTCATGCCACACGTTTTGTATGCAGATTAAATAGTTACAGTGTGGCCAAATTTAATCAAAGCACATATTTTCCAATTTGCTAGGACTATGCATATAAGACTTCTAATGCTTTTAAGACCGGATCAATTGATTGTTAACAGATTTTCCCATCTGAGCTGTTTTTGTCTACAGTTACCACTTAACCTCTGCTTAATCCTCTGATAGATATCTTGTTTGTTAGTTTTGATGGATACAGTGTCTTGTCTTGCTAGATTTGCAGATGTGTAGTACTGTTCGTTTCATGATGATTAAATAGTAATAATTTAACTTTATTAACCTAACATTCGAAAATTTTATCTCTGCATTTAAACCATCCCCTTGGGGAGCAGTTGGCTGCCATCTTGTGGCACCCAGGAAGCAGTGTGGGGTTAAGGCTCTTGCTGAGAGACCCAGTCTGTGGGAGTGGGGCTCAAACTCAGAACCTCGGGATCCCAAGCCCTATGCCCTAACCAGTAGGCCGTCACTCCCCTAAACAGTGCTGAGGGAACAGTGCTGAGTATTATATTCATCGTTTAAGATCTTGTTTTACAATCTGGTCTAGATTTTTACTTCTCCAAATGCCTCCAATGTTCTCCTCTGAGACCCTCAAATAACAGCTAGATCTATACAAAGATTGAGCAATTGCCGTTGGTTGGTTGCAGTGAGGGACACTTATGCAGTTTTTTTGTGTGTCTGTTACAAAATCCCAATAAAATATATGTATGTTTTGGTTGAAACATGACAAAATGTGAAACAGTTAAACTGTAGAATTAATTTATAAAAACCACTTAAGAGAGTTTTTTTTGTGTGTTTGTTGGCTAAAGTTCCTATTCAAGTTCTTGTCAGTAAGTGTTTTGTGTTATTTAACTCTTTAAAAGCATTGCACTAACAACCGAGGGTAACGGATGCTCCCTTCCTTCTCGCTTTCACTTTCAATCTCATCAAAATACAGAAAGCACCACCTTTTCTTGCAGAGTCGTGCTTTGGGACAGCAGACATAAATACTCTCATGCACACACACCAAGCAGGGCTTTGAAGTATGAGTCAGTGCAGTAAGCGGTGCAAGCCTCTGCAGAGTTGCTTTTTTTGCCGGATGAAAGGTTCCTGAAACTGCAAAGCTTAGCTTGCATCCTCAGGTGAGAGCAGCTAAAAGGACTTGCTATTTCAATAAACACCTCCCAGGTCCCCATATCTTGTTCCTTCCCAGTTTGTTTTTTCTATAACTTTCTTTTTTTATGCTCGTCGAACAGTCTGTCCTCAACAAAAGGTTTGTGTTAGGCTGTAGCCATCTGGTGCTTTGCTGTCCTTGAGAGCAGCCAGTCAGCACTAAGAGAGATATTCAGGCTATAATTCTGGTAGAATACAAAAC